CTTATATTTCTCTTGCTCTTGTTTTTACATCAAAGTTCAACAGTGTAGGGATTTAAGTGTTCAACTTCCTTCTGTTGGTAATATGAAACTCCCAGCGTGCAAGGATTTCTAAACTAGGAAGTTCTGTATTTGCCTTTTGGGTATTGTTGAAAGAAACATATAACTATGTGATGGCAAGAAATATTATGGGGTCTAAGAACACCATGAGACCTTTTAGATACTCATTTGCTTCTGATAAGGAATTCTTTAACACCTTAAATTTAATAGAAACCTGTGATCACCATTTTCAATGTAATGCATCATCCTACTTGAGAGAAATTCCTTCCCTTTCCCAAGACCAGATGCCCTAATGCCTTGTAAACAGCAATGAAGTCCCTGACTTTTATAAAGTGCACTTGTAGAAACACAATAAAAGTTCGTAACACCAGGAAGCTGCAATTTGAAGTGCTGGGAAGTTATATCTCAATAAATAAAACAGATTCATACTTTCCAGGCTTTTTTGACATCACGTGGTTCTGTCTCAAAAGCTTAAATGAAATTGTAATGAGTCATTTCTCATCTTCCAAACCAACTCTGAATCCAAAAGAAAAACACTGTCTGGTTCAAAGTTAAATGGCTCTGGCATTTTTTGTTGGTTCTCAAAAAGCTTAATTGGAGTTCAAGTTGCTAAGAAGTGATTGTCATTGCTGTTACTAAATTAGAAGTAGTCAGACCAGGTTCAGAAGAGTAAAAAAAAAAGCACAAGTGACCTAGCTCACATGGATATTCAGCTATTCCAGATGCCTGGGAAATATCCCTTGCAATTCAAGGCAGAAGATGGATGTTAGATGGCAAAATAATTTGATAATATTTTAGCTAAGTTTCTTTTAGAATTGTGATTGAATTTAATAAATTCTCATTAAATTTTTCATGAGTTCTAAAATATACAAATTCCCCAACTAGGAGAAATTTGGGTTGTTTTTTATTTTTTTTCCTCAAGATAGCTGACATAATTATTCTATTACTCTGACATTCACTGCTATGGGAATGTAAAATTACTTTTACTCCAGTTAGAAAGTGTTTCATATTCCACTTTTTGGGACACAAGAGTATAAATCTTTTTTCATTTTCCATTATCAGGCAGTTGAATAGAAAACATTACTGACTGACGTTTATATTAATGAGGCTAAATAAAAACACAGATGGCTTCTACTAAGTGAAGGAACTGAAAGTAATGATGTGCTATCTTAAGCCACTGTCCTGCAAAATCAGGGACCAGGATAAACAGAAATCTGATTATTCTAGCTGAGCAAGAAAGCCCAGATAAACACAGCCTCTCTCTGCCTGAATTCTTGTCTGTACTAAAAAAAAAGAAAAAAAAAAAAGATTCTTTTTAAAGAAGAATTGTCAATCGTTTGAAGTAGTACTCAAATTTTTCTACCCAAAACAGTGACTCAACACCACTTTGGAAGACACTCTTGAGATGAAACTTTTTAGAAAAAATGAGTGCAGTAGATTGATTCAAAGAACCCAGAGCTGTGAAATGAAATTTCAGGTGTAGGCCTTTCAGTGGCCCAAAGAATGACAAAACAAGAGCAAGTATGAAATACCCTTGTGTCATGGTTTTTGCCCTAGCCAATCAATATGGTATTCAAAATGAACCAGCAGGACCTGAAAATATTGCAGCCTGATATGTGTTTCTCTCATACACTAGATTTCCTTAAAAAAAAGTAACTCAACAAAAAAGTTTGTATACATTTATGAAGGCTCAATAGGTTCATATAGTTCCATTTTGAAATGAACACGATTAATCAGAATTTTAACATTAAAAAAATTATAATAGTATAACAAAATTAAAGAAGTTTTCATTTGTTTATAAACTCCCATGTGTGCAAAATGGTTGAAAATTTACATTAAAATGCATCTGATTATTACTGATATTAGCTGTAATTATGCAAAAGATGAATACTTTCTCCCTTAGCTCAGAGTTTTGACATTGAGAATAATCTATTATACCATATGAACAACTTCATTCATCCACGTGTTGCTTAACACTATAATTTAGGAATGACAAATACAAAAGCCTAAATTATTCTCTTAATAAGGAACTTTTTGCAAAACCTTTAGTAGTTTTACCAGTTTCTGTGTGTTTTCATGTTGGCTATGTGTGTAGCTCTGGTTTTGCTGCTAAAGTTTTTTCTTCTGCAAGATCTCTCTTTTTAGAGTACTAAAAAGACCTCTGAAAAAAGGCTTATTTAAAAGGAAACTAATGTATGGCAAAAGAGTTACGTTTGTTTCTGAAAACATAGTTCCCACTGGACTTTTGTCTAGGTGGATGGATTTCCAACCATTGCAGTACCAAGGAGCCAAAGAAATTATTGAACTGAAAAGTTGTTATAATTGCAAATTATTAGTCTATTCCTTAGGATTTTTAGATATAATTTCTTTTTATAGGACTTAGTCCAAACTAGATTTTAAATGCCTTAGGTGTAGGACTCTTTCCATTTGCACAAACTAATAGATATTCATTTCAACATTTTTCATTATATCCTAACTGATCTTTTTTTCAGCTTCATCCAGTTATCTGTTTTTATACACCCTGAAGACATAGTAAATAATTTCTTTCCCTGTTTCTCCAGGTACCATTCAAATAACAATAAACAGTTGCAGCTTCAATTTAGCCAAATTTACTTTTTATTTTTTAAATCTTGGCACACACCCACACGTTTAACGTCATGTCTCTTTATTCTCCATTAAGATCTCAAATGCAAAAGAGGCAGATGAGAGACACGTCGGGGGCAGGTGGGGGCTCTCAAAGATTGCTGATACTCAAGAAATAACTGAGTTGTCTCTGGATGGGAAAAGCCTCCTCAGCAGGTTTGCAGTTAGGAAGAATGTCCTGCTCTCGACAAGTGAGATGAGTGGCAACAAAAACCACATCTCCCCTGAGCGTTCAGCTGCTTGAGACAGCAACAGCTTCCAAACAAGTCTTTGCTATGGATCATTTTCTTCAAGTTCTTTAAAGAGAGGTTAGCCAAAAATTTTCTTCTGATCCCTCCGCTTGTCATAAATAAATGTTTTAAGTTGTCACTACCTAAGCTGGTTCCAGGTGGTTTAGGTGATAATTTCTCTATTGGAGTCCTGTCTATGCTACTCTGTTATACTCTGGAGTGGAATCCTCTCTCTGTTACTCTCTTATACAATCTCAAAAACCATAATTCTGTTTTATGAGTTGGTGGGAACCCCTCCCAGTGCACACCTCTTGACAATAGATCTCAAAATGTCATGCCTTATCCATGTCTGCATAATAAAAGACTGTCCAAGTAATAATGTGGAATGTGAAGTTCTTCCTCTTTCTTATTGGTGATCAAGGAGGCAGCAGTGCTGTTTTGCACTTGTCATATTAATCATATTCTCATTTTGGCCAATATTCCTAGAAACACTCCGCTACTTGCAGAGCTTCTATTGAAATATATGGAGGGGGGGTAAAGGAAAGAATCAAGGAAGAAAAAGATATAGCTATTCCATCTGAGGTCTAGAATAATTTATGCTGCTGTACTAGTTTACCAGCACTGATCTTAGTGTAGAAATTCTCCTTACATCAGTAGAAAAGGAATGAGGATAAAACATAGTCCATGAAATTGTCTTTTACATCAGAGTTTTTAGACAGACTAAGTTGCACATTTTGCTATTAATATCTTTTCAACCAGAATGCACAAACCTTTGAAAAAAGAAGTAAAGGAATCTAAAGAAAAGGACTTATGGAACAGGGGGAGGAAATGGCAAAAGTCCACAGACCCATGTTAAATGAGAGACAAAAATTTAACTCTCTTTTCAGAGGGGATATGCACGGTTAGAACAAAATTTTGTCTATTGTCTTTGAATTTACAGCAGATACATATACCTGACTATCAGATTATTTGCTACAGAAATTCTCCCTACTGTTCCTGTTTGAACCCTCTATATATTTTTAGCCAGTGAAAAACAGTATCATGGACTTGAAAGAAAATTTTACTGTGCTGGTTAGTTTTATAAGTATTTTCCTTGAATTAATGAAAGAAAACCAGAAAGAAGAACAACACAGAGCCTGTAGACCTGCCATCTTCTATGATGCTACCGGAATAATTAAGGAAGAATTTTGCGTCTGCTAATTTTAAGCAGTTTTCTAGAGAACATTGTTCAACCTAATACAACAATTTAGCTGAAAAAACAGTGACATAATTGACAGAATTGCATAATAATTACAGAGTCAGCTATACTAAAGCATGACTCATCACTCAATACATAAGAAGCCACAGAACTACGTCACATCCAGCAGTGCAGTTGCAGTGCAGTACAGTGGAGCTGCAGCCAAAGAAGAAATTTAAAATCACCAATCTTCTGATAACGAGTGGGGGAATAGGGGATTTAATGGAAAGTATGACTATGATTTTTGTTTTACTGTAATGAATTAAACAGTGACAAGGAATATTTGAACAATTGCAATTAAGATTTACAGCCTTTTAAGAAAAATATTTAATACATGTTACTATTTGAACCTCACACATTTTCTGGTAATACTTGTAATAGTTTGCTTTATTGAGGAAGGAGAACTATTCCACTTCTCAGCTGGAGAAATGATTGGTGAAGTGGAAAAGCAATGATGGAATTTTCTGAGATAATTACATTTTTTATTAGAATATTTTATCAATGATCTTTTTGAAAGAAAAGCTGTACAGTGTAACAGCCAAGCATAAAACACTAAACTCCTCATGAAACATTTTGAATGACCTTCTGTAATAGCATTCACTTGAAAATAATACTTTTAAAAACTGCAGAATCTGAAAATCTTTCCCTTGAATAAGCCTTACTTGTTATGCAAAAGATACATATGACTTTTATCAATTTCCTATCTATTAATACATTCCTTGACAATAAACTAAGCCCCAGCTAAAGATAATATTCAACAGCAAGATTATACATCATTAGAAAAGTTACAATGATAAGCTTTTTCTATTAAAAATGTGATGGTTTGGACTTACCAGGTGTAAAATTATACCGAGCAGAAAACCCAATAGATTCCAGTTCAGCATCAGCAAAAAATTTAATCCACAGGAATCTGCCACTGGATTTTATCATAGGTGGATTTTGCTGTCCACAGAAACGTCCAAGGATTGGGGAAAAGCCAAAAGGTCCATCTCGTACTTCTATGTGGTCAAATTTACACTCCCAAGAAGGCTCTATGGAATATTTTTCATCAAAGTGTAGTTCAATGCATTGTCTAGGAGCAGCTAGAGACAAAAAAAGAAAATTGTCTTATCATTTTCTAACCCAAGACCCTTTCAAAACTAAAGCAAAACTGAAGAAAACCAAATTTATCATTTTGTATGGATTGCAAAATTTTGTTTAAAAACACGTAGAAAATTGGAACATCATTTTTTTTTAACTAAAAATTAGTACATCTATATTTTTTATAGATTTCACACCGTCAGGTTATTTGTCTGCTGTTCTCCTTTTAAAAAAGCAGTTTTGACAGCAGTGCTTAGTAAAACTAAGAGAGAAATATCCATGATGAACAGAAAAATATAGCCAGGAACAATTTCTTCAAATATAAAATATAAAATGATTCTAATAAACTTACATATTTAGAAGAATTTATTTTTTCTCTTATATTTTGGGGAGGGGTGTTAATCAGAATACGTTTTTTTGTACCTAGTACTGAGAAAGATGATGAAGAAAAGGTTGATCAGAACTGTGCTACCGTAAGGACAGATTATCTTCCTACATGTATTGCAGTCAATGACAAACTGGAGTGTAATTGCTTATACTCAGAATTACTTCTCATTGGAAGCATAAGAACAAATGCACTGTATTCTCACTTAAAAAGGAAGGATAAGGATCCTGGATAAGGATGATATTAGAAGAGCAAATGATATACTGAAAAACTTTAAGGAAGTTCATAGTGGCAATTTAATTAGACATTTTTAAAAAATCCATCTTTAATGATAGGTCTTAAGTCTTGAGACATTCAGAATTATTTCTAAAACAAATATTTCCTGGGATCTCCTGTATAAAGCAAAAAAAAAGTAACAGGTAGAGATATAGTATATTCTTACAAGGAGGGGGAAAATCATGGTTTGATTGATACATTTTATCAGAGGCAACCTTTTATAGGTGCACTGTTTTCTACACTCAGTCCTGGCCATAGCAAACACTGTGTGCCTTCAGTGTCTAGAGCATGGTACATTGGAGCCTTTTGCTGACAAAGCCTTCTGCTAAGACAAGGATTTGTTGTGTCAGTGCCTGCTGTGCCTCTCGTGGGATCATGTCCTACACTTTTCACATATCAAAAGAGGTTTGTATTACCATGAGCTTTGCCAGAGTTACCATTCTTTTCACATGAAAATATGCAAGATCAAACTGCATGCCGAGTTATTAGCATGGAAACTGCTTAGCATGGAAACTGATGCCACTCCAGGAGTCAGTATCTCTACATTTATTTCCTCAAGAATAATAAGAAAACTGTCCGTGTTACAAGAAAAAAGATCTTGTTTGGATTCTGAAATGTTTTAAAATTTTAAGCTTTTGATATGAACTCGTTACTCACATAAGAAGAGAGATTATTTAGAATTAACTGAGTAAGAAGATATCAGGTAAATTTTGAAATCTTTACATAAAAGCACATAGTCAGATCCCTCTTACAACTATTTCATGTAGATAAATACAGCCTCATTTTATAAGAAATATTTAAGAAGTAAGTTAATAAAACATCTTATTTGTAAAGGAAAATTATTTTAACAGCTTTACTTACAATGGTAATATAATTGGATGATAGATATTTACTGAAACATTTAATTTAACATAAGAAAGAAACCTTTTCTACTGTTCTCAATCTGAAGACATTCACATTCAGGGAAATAGTAGTGACTTGTCATTATTTATACCAATTTATGGGAAATTTTTGATCTTCATGCCCTTACAAATTCAATAGAAAAAACAGAGGCCTATGTTTTACATATAATTGCATGAAATTCACAGTCTATAGAAAAGAAGCTTTGAAAATACAAAAAATTTACAAATGTAAGGTCAGATAATAAAGCTTGTAAAGGAGATCATAATGATGTTATCCTTGGTGAGGTTTGAAAACCAAAGTAAATCTTTTTAGATTATAGTAAAAGATTGAATACTTGGAAGACATTATAGATTAATTTTATTCAGAAGTTTCTATCCTTGACTTTACACTTTTATAAAAATTTTTGATTCAAACTCAGCTAAGCAATACTAGTACAGAAGAGAGCAATCAGTGACTTTCAGTTTGGGATCATATTCTGCATGCTCTTATTCCATTTAAGGAGATTTGTTGAGAGCTGTTCATCACCCACCTGAGGGACTGCAGAGTCAGGTATCAGAAACTTTCCTGACAACACTTTAGGTAATCTTAAGAATGCTCATCATGGCTTGAAAATCTTACACATTCATGACTCCAATGCTATGCCATTAACCTGTCTAGAGCTTTATTATTATGTTTTAATGTCACAAACTAGATATGAAGATCGATTCTCCTACTACTGACTGTCAGCTATGCTGACATACAGCAGCATAGCTGCTGTGCTACTCATAGCCACAAAGTGATTGCTTCAAAAATGGCTCATGACATTATCATAACACATTTATCCTTTAAAATCTTTCTTTTCTGCTGCCTTGTTTGATACCAAGAAGAAGATTACAAGTGCTGGCCCATAGTTAAATCCTTAACAAGTCTTCTCTGTATCCAAGACTCATGTAATGTCAAAAAAGGCCACGAGGCTCCCTTAGAGTTCAGTCATTTGACATCATTTTTGGTGTTGAAAAGGAACCCTAGACCCAACTATAGGTTCGGTCTAGGAGGCTCTGAAGTAAAGGGAAAGATTGTGGATAAAATAAAAATCAGGCCTACTGAGTTACACGTGAGAGCTATTGGCTATGTGAATGAATGACCTGATAAAAAACAAAATTTCCATAACCCTAATCTCCATGTCTCTCTCTGAATCTCACACTGCCAACCAGTTTGTTGACCAGAATATTGCTATAACTCACACTATTCTGCTTTTACTTGTTTTTCAACAAAGTCAAGATGAGGCTTTTCCTAGTGAAGCTCAGATCTTGCTATAGCTCAGAGAGAATCACATCAGCTCAAGGAGAGCTCAAGTTTCCACTTTTCCCTGAAGGCCCTGTGAGTAGAGGCTACTTCACTTTAAGAATGGAGCATTGAATATTCATTAGCAGCACTTCTCCACTGGGGATAAAACAAGGCTGGGGATTGAGTTTGAGGGCTGGACCACTGCCCAGTTCACACTCCTTAAATGTAAATTCATGTTCTGGCACTATTTTGGCCATGCCACTAAGAACAGTTCAGTAACTCCAGGGTGTAGCACAAGAATCCATGACCTTTTCATAAGGTGCTTTTAAAAGAACTTCTGTTTTTCTTCTTGTGCTTCATATTTAGTTAATGGTTAAATGTTTTGTTTGCAATAATCTACATTAAGACACAAATTTAATCAAATCTTCCTCCATATAACCATAAGTGATGAAAACACATAATTCAAATTCTCAACTTTAAGTTCCTTTTAGCAAAAATGGTATAATTTCACACTTATGCTGTGCCTTTAGTTAGGGGTTTCTTTACCCAACACAAGGTAGAAGAAGCAGCGATTGTTTAAACACACATCTTGTGCCACACCTTTTGCAACAAAGTGTGTGTAAATGAGGTCACAGAAATAAACTGGGGACAAGTCCAGAATAGTCACTAATAATAGTGTATGTGTTCCTATAGAAAAATAAAACAAAACAAAAAAACCATCCAGAATATGCAAATCTTCCAGACTGGCCATCTAATCCAAAAGGAGGGATGGAGTGATTATTTCTGGTATCCTAATTAATAGCTAAAGTCCATTCACATCTTCAGATCTTCGTCTGTGGCTATGATGTCAAGCAAAGTTGTGCCCTCTCCAAATGAAATATATTGAATAATGTCTCATAAAATGACTTGATTTCAAATGCCACAACTTCCATATTTAATTTCCAATTATCTTTCTTCAAAAAATGTTTAGAGTCATGGAAAGGCCTACTTAATGCTTGCATGTCTTGTCATATTTTTCATCTAATTATCTTATACAAGTGCTGTCTTAAGATTTTCAATCCAATGGGGAAAAAAAAAAAGAGTCATTGGGTTCCAGCTTGCAGTAGAACAGTTGCAGCAAAACTGCACAATTAAGGTTTTAATTCTGATCAACCTCTAAGTCTGTGTAGTGACAGCTGAAGTTAAGTGAAAAAATCTGTTTCAATTTGCCACACTGCATGGAAATGAGAAACAGCTCAACACCTACTGCCATCTCTACGAGCTGTTACCCTACTAATAGTTTCAATAATCCTCATTCCTTCTGGTTATCCTGCTATTATTGATAAGGAACCATATTTATCTTCATTAGAAAATAGGTTCTTTCATTGTTTTCGTGAAAATTTTTTCAACACAAAAATCACTGTGAAATACAAAAGGACTTTGAGCAGAGGTTTTTCACTTGGTGATAACATTACAATTTTCTAACACTTGTGAAATATCATGAAAGTGTTTAATGGACTTCTGTGAGAACATGAGATTTTCAAGATTGATATGTTCACAAACTTGTAAAGTGGAAGATATATTTTATATCTCCATATATCAATTCTAGTCCATACCTGTATTTATAAACTAGCCCTTAATTATTAAAAGAAGAGTGGTTACAATTTTCCTCTTATAGGATTGTTAAACCCATTCTCAAGTTATGGTGTGTATAGTATTAGTATCCCACTCCCCAAATACTTTAATACAAATAAAAGCCTTTGCTCCTGCAAAATCTCCTCTGCAAATTTCCTTTTATAGCACACATGCCAAATGTTCTGCAGTCTGGCAAAGGTTATTGCTGTCACTGCTGTGATTGTTCTGGGCAGCTGTGAATTTTGTCAGGTTAGAAACATGAATATGCAAAAGAAGGGTGAAATTTGGCCAATTTTTCTCAGCTCATTTTCTATGTTTTCTATATGCCAACTAAGATTGAAACAAAAGAAAAAGAAAAAAAAAGAAAAAAACAAACAAAAAGAAAAAATTCTCAGTGCATTTTGAAAGGCAGATGGGATTCATCAGAAGCTCCTTGGGGAGTTGTATCAGCCCTCCTCCAAGCCTCACTTGTGACACTTCTCTGTAGCATAACAATTTTTGTACAGAGGCCATGATTTCTAGATGACTTAAAGGATTTCCTTTAAAAAGGCAGTCAACCTGGACTTTAAAATTCCAGTGATAATGAACTCTTAGAACTCTTAGTTGTTCTAAGAGTTCATTATCACTACTACTAAATCAGAATAAAAAAAAAAAAAAAAAAAAAAAAAAAGCAGAATAACCTAAGAAACTTCCAGCTTATGTCTTTGCTAGGATAAAAGCCTCTGCAGTCAGGAATCTCCTTTTCTTTCAGAAATTCACGATCTATGAACATGGCAACTTTTGCCAGCTCCTTTATGTCACCAAAATAATTCTGACATGACAGAAGGAGTTTTTATCTCCCCATTGAGCTACAATGGGGAGGAAAAAAATTGAGATGAAATTCAAGTGTTTGCAACACACTACAAAGCTGGACTGCTCAGTAAAGACCAATAAAGTCACTAGGAACTGTGTTTGAATTTGCCCCAAGACTATGTTTGATAGCAAATAAATGAAGGAATGAATGCAAGCAGCCAGGAAAGAACGTAGTGATTCATTTATGCATTTATGCCCACATCATACAGCTTTCAGTATGTTGTATACAATCCTGGCAGGCTGAATTCCCTGAGGCATACAACAGGGAGATAGTGATGGGGGTGATGATATTATAGACAATATCAACAGTCCCTCTAGTTTGGTACTTGGCATTCAACAAGATTCAGAATCTGTTCAAGCATATGGAAATTTCAGTTCTAAACATAGAAATGAAATACATAAAGAGGTGTTTCTGTCTTACTCTAAAATATTTATTTCCTCCATTAGTCAGGGTTATCCACAATTTCTGTAGATTGTTATCTGATTTCAAATACATTGCTAAAAGTGTTTTATAAATCCTTTAATATCAGTGTCTTATGACAATGAGTTTCACAGAATATAAAAGATGTGGGGAAAATTTGATACTTGCTAGGCTTCTTTATCATTTTCTGTTATTTTGCGTGTTGCAAAAGGAATAAATATGGACAAATTATTTATTCTAATTACAAAAAAGTTTTTTGTTGACCTTCAGTAGTTCTTTTGCCTTTTTTTTTTAAATCTGACACTTAAAAGTAGTATTGTTCAGACATCTTCCTATATCTCTGCTTATTTTGGTGACATTTTCCAGACAGACATGACTATTTCTGGTTTTTTATAGAAGACAGAAATAGACATGGGGAGATCAGAGCTGAAAATGTTGTGCAATGCCTATGGTTCATTGTGGGTTTTAAAATGACCAGCTGCAATCTAAGCTGTTATTAGGCTGGATGGGAAAAAGAAAATACCCATGCCATAGAAAAATTGTGTTCAACTGGATTTTACAAGATTGAACTTTCTGATAAAATAAAACAAGATGTCTGTTGAGTTCACTCTTTTCCTTATACATTGCTCTAAACTTGTCCATGTGGAATTTCATCTTTGTCATAGAAGTTTGTTGATTAAATCTTTCCTTCTTAAATTGTTTTTTGGCATTTTTAGATATTTTAGATCACATTATTTCAACAGTGTATTTTTGCAATTTTTCAGCATATTATATTTTTGTAAGTAATTAATTACTATTATAAAGATAAAAGTCTTTACTATATTAGGCTTTCAAGCACCTTCTTACTGTGAGGAAGAACGTCATGAGATGAGACTATTAGTGGGACTAAATTTAGTGGGACTAAATTTTACAAAATTGTGGGTTATTTCCAACACCATTTCACTTTAATGACAAAGCATCCTGTGTTTCATATCTTTGAAGATAAAACAGGCTTGGTTCTTCCCAGTCTCACAGGAATGTTAGATAATTTGGTCAATAGATGCAAAAAGACCCAGATCTAGCAACATAAGTATAATTGGAAAAAAAATAGTGCTAAGTTGTACTTTTGGAACCTATGCATTTATCTTCTTCAAAAAAATTATTATTTTAAACCAATTACTAAACTATGCTGGAATTTAAATATTTACCATGTATCTGTTTAAATTCCAGACATATACAGACTAGCTTAAATTTTACTTTAAGAGTTTATTTGGCTACATTATTTATAATCACCTCTTCTGACTTTAGTCAAATTATCTAGCACCAAAGTGAAATTCAGTCATTTTGTTGTGACTTTTGACTTTCTAAAAGTACAGAGTGTGTATGGGTCCAGAAGAGTTCATTCAAATTAAATCAGCTATATATCTTTGGAAGTATATCTTGGTGCTACCTGCATCTTTTGTAAAATAATGATTTCTGTAGCTCCTCACTCCATCATTAATTCATTAATAATTCTCTAAATGAAGCATGGATAGAAGACTATCACTGTTTTATTCTATATGTATTCACAACTCAAGAAATAAGTTTTTTGATTCCAGGGATTTACCATACAGTACATGATTCATCTTTTCTGAGCTCTGAGAGGATCTAACCTCTATTACTTTCCACAGATTCATTATCACAACAATCTCTCCAGCATGCATTGTACTAAGACTGATGAAAAGAAACCATATAATACACCTTTAGGCTTTCCTACATCACTTCCATGCTTGCAGTTGTATACTCTTTAAAAACTAAGTTTTAGAGATGCTTTGTCTCCTCTAGTTTTATTTTGTAGGTTGGGTGTATTTCATTTTCATTTCTTATGAACAACTGGATGGAAAATAATTTAAACATACACTACATGGATATTTTCTGTATGACTTTTTCTACTGTACTAAGCTTGTCATCCCTGGTTCAGTTACAATAAGTTTAAAATGTCTGCATGAAAGTCAAAAGCATTTTTGTTTCCCATGTTCACTTTTACTACTCATTTTAAAATATCCTTTCTTCTGTCACATTGCATTTTAGGTTCTATTCATTTTCTAAACATCGTGGAATAAATTCCTGAAGTACTGAGTCTTACATACATACCACCTTAACTAAATTATTAGCTATATCAAAACAGAAATCAAGAGGTTTCTCTAAATCTTTTTCTGTCTGGAAAATATGTGTTATCATGACTTTACCTACTCTTCACATAAAACAAAACATATTCTTTTTAATACAGTTGATGGTAAAATATAAAGATTCTTCTTTTGGTCACCTTCTATAATGTAGACACACTCTCTGTCTGGAGGATATTTGTTGGGGTAATTTGGAGAGGTGAAGATGCCTCCTTCTGCATATTTTGTCCAAGTTCCACACTGCACTGGTCTCTGTCCTTCGGAAACACTTTGCTTTTCTGTGAAATGATGACATTAAGCATTATATAATTAGCCCAAAAATTATCATTTACACATGACACTTAGAACTCTCGAACAGGATAAATACAACAGCCCCTTTTCTGTCAGTCGCCTCAAACTTTTATCTGTTGAGACTGAGTATGATAATTGATCTAGGGGAAAAGAAGGCTAGCTTTTAGCGGTACAAACATATAATTCTTACTCAAAATATGGTTTTCAAAGCAGAGGAGAGGTTTGAGTGTCCAGGGGAAAATAAATTTGCATTGCTTTTAAAATAATAACCGTTTAAGGAAAGCACGTGCTTGAGAATTGGAAGGCATGAATTTCCCACTCATACCTCTCAAAAAGATCAAGCATGTGCTCTATCAGCAATCTTCATGCCATAATACAGGAATACATCAGCCACAAAATTGAGGAAATAGCCCAGAGAATTATGATCATATATAGAAGTTGTTTTAAATCTGCAGCATATTTAGTCTATATTCACTGGACAGAGGTAGACAGGGGGATTCCTGGAATCTAGTTCATAGATTATTTTTATCTGACTGTTTGCTATAAAATTAATAAATAGCTCTGAGGCCAGGAATCACAGCCCAGAACTCTCCTCCTTCTAAGTGAATCCTCAGAGAGCAAGAGTCTTGTCTGCTTTCTTCCTAGCCCTGAATCTATTGCATTTCTTTCTGGTTTCGGCCAGCTCAAGCTGAAGAAGATCAGGGATCCCTTCCTAAGCATCTTGCTTTGACAAGTAGGCTAAAATGAGATGGATTCTCTAGAAGGAAATATATCTAGGCTGCTATTAAAGGCAAGGATAGTAGGTTCTAGACAGATGTTGCTCTGAATGAGGTTTTTAATAATCAGAGAGCTGTCCCATATAACTTAAGCCCCAGTGTGTGAAGTAAAGGTGTTTGAGGCTCCCTCTTCGGATCAATGGATGAAAACAAGCACTTTCCAAGGATGATAATAACCATCTGAGACCTGAACTTATACTATGTTTTTCCTTATATACTATGTATTTTCTTTACATTTCTTTTTCACCCGGGTCCATATCCAGGCAGAGTATGACATGGACCCTCATTTCCTGCAATGAATGCCAGCCCGCAGGGACTGTACATTCAGACACAGGTTCAGACACACACTGTGCTTAGCAGCATTCCATGCTAGGCTCTCCTCACACTGAGCATCCAAGCCTCTAAAGAATCTCTTTCACTACTCCCCCTGCACAAGTGCACTCACGATACCAAATTTTAGGTTCTTAATTAATTATACTTCAACAAGAAAAAAGGTTTGAAGTGTAGGTAGCTGAATGCCCAAACTGGACTTCCCAATTTGAAAGTAGGAGTATTTTATAGTCCTTAGTTAGAGTCAGGCTGAGCCTGATGAGAACCCCTGGATTTTTTGTGTGTATACAGTCATGTGAATACTCCAAACAAATGGACAAAGGGTAGACACTGGAAGTAAATGAGCTGCTAAAAATTTCAAAAACTAAACTAAAAACTCAAATCCATATTTTGGTCTCTAATAAATTTTTTAACAAAAATGTTTGATGTTTACATACCTGTTCCTTTTTTGGTTGCCCCAGACAAATGTAGGATGATTAGACTTGCTACAACTGAAAGAGAAATATGCATTAAATATCACAGAGTGATAGTTTCTGCAATCAAATGACTTGTACTCATATATCTCACAAGAATACAAATGAAATAGCATTGCTGTAAAGAAAAAGTTTCATTTTACTTGAATCTTTTAATTGCACATATTGTATAAGCAAGTTTCTTCATGGCCTGTTCTTGTAAGTACTTATCTTTGCAAATGTAGGCAAATAAAGAGGAAATCTTTTGAGTTTAAAACAAAGCCCACAGGCACTGATATTCTCATCCTTTTTTTTTTTCTTTTTCTTTAATATTAGAGAAAAAAACATTTTTACCAAAACCTATTTATATAATAATACTTCATGTCAGTAGTAGTAAAGTGGCTGTTTTTAACAGAGGGAGACAAAATTTCAGTGCCACTGTATGCACTAATGTCTCTCAGTATGGCATAATAAAATTTGAAAATGTGTACTGGGAATAGGAAAGAAGTGAGAGGTTGGGTTCTTCACATCCATCAAAGCATTAGCAAATCTCTAGTGAAGTAAATTATTGTGTGTGCTTAACAATCTCATTAATCTATTTTGACTTGTTGAGAGGGTGTTGCTTTTTTGCTGCAGTGAATCTGCAGCCCACTTTGCAAACAGGTATCTGCTGTCTCCAGCTGTGATAGGACAACTGTGCCTCTTGGAAACAGATACAACCTTTATGCAATGGACTTTGACCTGGAGATAATGACTGGGTTTCTGGGAATTTCCAAATGTAATAGCTTGACTAGAAAAGGCTAAGAGGCAAACACTTAGTAGAGTCATAATGAGACTAATTTGGAAGATCAAAGTCACTAGCCAGGTACCTGATGAAGAAATCACACACTGCTTTTCTTGTCATCATTCATATCTTCTTTGGCTCTCAGAGAAAGTGGAATAGCAAGTGCAGAAGAGAACAGATCCATCAGTTCTTGGAGTGCTTAGGGCTTTGCCCCGGCTAGTCTGGCATCAGGCCCAATCACAGTGCCCAGGCTGCACTGACCTTAAGGTAGAAATGAAGCTGCATGCTTATTCAGAGCATTTTGGATCAGTCAGCTACCATTCTGTTGATGACTATGACGAGGAACTGATCAATTAATAAAAGTAATTGCATTACATACTTTCTTCTTATTTTCCCTAAGAGACACTAAAAGCCACCATTGGCTAGTAACTACGATCCTTTCCAAGATGGTGTTTTCAACATTTTCACCTTTTTTATCACAATTTATGTGTAATTTTCACTCCAAAGGAAGCCATTCTCCATATTTCCAGTATTCTGATGGCATTGAGAGCCTTATTTCTATGTCTTTGACCTTTCCCATGTGACAGAGGGTTTGCGGCATGGATGATGGCTGCCCTATTAAGCAAGGTAAGATTGAAATTCTGGGAAAATGAAGGTTTGGCAGCAAATTCACTATTTCTTGTTCAAGCTCACAGCCTCTAGAGATGGATGTTGGCAGCACTGATAGTTAAAACTCTTGTGTGTCATGGGCATTCAGTGAGAACACTACACCTTCTGCTTGGATCTGAATGCTGCCTAGCCATTCATGCCTTTACTCCCCTCAGGGATGAATTCTGGAAATACAGGCTACTGGGACTCTGCCTGCCAACTCTGTCAAAATCCAAAGGCAAGGCAGGAATCACCCCTTTACTGAGTTGCTCATTTCCTTTAGCTGTGTTTCATGCAGTGATCATAGTGCATCTATGCCTGTAATCTTCAGCAGCCTACACCTAATTTCTCAACAGTGTAAAATGGATTGGTGCTCAAATGTGGAACCAGCTGCTGGTGTTCTGTCTGCCCATAAATTTGTGGAAGCCAGAATAGGACGCACGATAACCAAACTCCATGTGAGAAGTATTTCTTTTAGGCAATTAATAACAATGCGTATTTGATTCTTACACATTCATTTCAAGCATCTTTATCTATTAGGTCTCCCCTCATTTTCTATACAGATAAAAGTGAAGTTCAGAGAAGTAAAGAGAGTTGGTCCAAGCCACAGATATATTTTACCAAGATGACAAAAGCCCCACAGCTCTTTTCAGTTCCAGCTGTAACTGCTAGAAAAGAGGTTTCCAAACCACAGAGCCGTTTTCATAAAGCATAGAGCTTTACTAAATGTCATTATATCAGTATTCGCTAGTAATAAGCAGTCAAAATAATCTTGATAATAAAGTCTAATAGACAAGCAGAGACTTAGAAACTAAGTGTTTGAAGGTTTTGGTTTTATTCTAGACATATAATACCTAACATTTGGATAGATGAAGTGAAACACTTCTCCCATGTTAAAAAGAAAAAAATAAAAAAGAAAAAGGACTTGCTTTAGTGTTACTAACAACAGCACCAAAATTCACAAGTTGCCAGAAAGTAATTAAAATTGTGGTCTTCTTGGGAAAAGCCAACACAAATACATATTATTCAAGTAGACAAGGCAGACCATTTTATTCTATGATCCCACTGCACAAACGCACCCCTGATACCCAATTTGAGGTTTGAATTTCTCATGCCTTTTTCTTTCTCAAGCCACAGAAAAATAACAGTGCTTTTCAGAGAGGGGGGAAATAAAACAAGAGCCCACAGGGACTAACCATGGAACCCTCACTCATTGAAAACTGTCACTTGGGAGGTGTTGGCAGCATAGCAACATTATTGTCATTATCTCGGTTCGGGAATTATTTTAAAAAGTTTCCACAAAATTTCTTGTTGCATTCTCACTGTCTTTCTCCTCCCCCTTTCTCTCCTAATCACGGGTGTAATTATAATCTCGCTTTCTAGTGCCACTCTGATTACGCATCTTTCCATCTTTTTTGGATCTCTGCACTCTTTGTTCATTACAAGCTGTACATTAAGTGATTTATCTCTTGGCCAGGCTTTTAGGAGGCTGTGATTTGGCACAGACGTGGCTTAGCCTGGCGAAGAGTTGTTGGACAAGCAATACCTGGTCATAGCGCTATTGCACAGGTGTGGGCGCGCAGAGAAGTGCTGGGAGGAACTGGGGCCACTCAAGCCGCTTCAGAACAGCGGACCCTCCGCAAGACAGAGGCGGGAGAGGGAGTCCCACCTCGCACCTTGAGGCCCCTAAGGTCTCGGAAGAGCAGGTGATATATTTCGGTGCCTCCTTGCTAATCCTGGTGGATTTCAGCCGACAGCGCCGCCCCCGCCCCGCGGCT